ATAATTTACCCTTATGTTAAAATTACAACCAGAAAGCAGAAGCAGCTAGAACAAGGTTCACTGTGTTACAGCAGAATGAACAGACAAAGGAGAGAGACAAAAAACCAGGATAAACATGAAAGCTCATCTATTCTCTCCTGGTGCCTGGTTTTGCCTTGCTTGGACTCTCCCTTCATCCCACAGAATGTGAGATCTGAGAAGGCACCCTTGACTTCCCATCCAAGACACAATTCTAATGACACATGATTAACACGCAAACTTCCTAATTCAAGTTGAATTTTTAACTGTAATTAACTGTAACTGTTAAAATTTTGGACCACCATCCAGAAAGGTTTAGTTCATTTGCCAAAATCTTAAGGAATTTCTGCCAGATACAAATCAGGTAAGTCTGGATACAGGAAAGAAAATGAAAGCATGTTATTCACTTCACAGCAAGGAGGATGCTACATGATAAAGGGAGCAGATCTCAACTGGAACCCCCAAAGCCCTCATGGTTCACACTGGAAGAGGCTAGAAAGAATGCCAAGGCCACCTATAGGGTCAAATATCTACCTTGATTATTTCAGAACACTGGATTCTGAATCCACACAGAAGGAGCCCCACACCCCTCACAAAGACTCATGGCTTGCCCTTGTAGCATCCCATCTCCACTACTCACCAGCTGTGTGACCCTGGGAATATTCATTTGGCTCTCTGAGCTTTAATGTTCTCCTTATAAAATAGGGATAATATTGAAGTATGACAAGTGTATTTAAAGAGTCCTAGAAATTTTCCTTCCAAATGCTATATACGTACATTCCTTACAACTCTCCAATGAGGTACTATCAATGCCTCCAGCCAGAGACCAGCAGGAGTACACTTTCAGATGAACAAGTTGGTTTTATTGTTCATTGCAAAGAGGGAGAAAATTCACCTTAAGGAATTATACAGCATCTCAGTAAGAGGTTGTTAGAACCAAAGAAGCAAAACCAGTAGGAGATATACTATATTAAGAAAATTATTGCAAAGAATTAGTTTATGCAATTGTGGGAGTGATCTGAGGAAATCCAAGATCCATTGGGCAAGGTGTTGTCAGGAAGGGCAGGCTGTCGTTAGAAAGGGCAGACTGGAGCTCTCAGCACAGTCAGAAGCTTTGTCCTCAGTGGCATTTCTTCCTCTGAGAAGCCTCAGCTCTGCTCTTACCCCATTTCAACTGATGGGATCAGGTTCACCTAGTTTACTTATGATAATCTCTTACTTGAAGTCAACTAATTATCAGCTTTAATGCCATCTACAAAATTATCTTCATAGCAACACTTCAATTAGAGTTTGATTAAACTGACCATTAAGGTTTGGGCTAGAATTAGGTGATTATGCAGAGGATCTAAGGATCTAAGAAAAAGGGACTTTTCTCTTAATTGGATTCTGTCAGGAAGCAGTTTGTGGAGGACTAGAGAAATTTTGCGATTGGGTGTCTTTTTTTTTTTGAAACAGAGTCTCACTTCATCACCCTGGGTAGAGTGCCATGGCATCATCCTAGCTCACAGCCACCTCAAATTCCTGGGCTCAAGCAATGCATGTCTTTCTTTTTTTTTTTTTTTTTATGTGCTCTAAATAGATATATATTTATTTATTTGCATATACAGTTTACACACATGCCATAAATTCCAATATAATAAAAAATAACCCCTTAACAGCTCTTCAACGCATGGGACTTGCATATCCCAAGCCAAGTCCTGCAGTGGAGGTAGCACGTGTTCCTATTTTACAACATCTCATGGGAGATAAGTGGTTAAGGAGGACTTGAAACCCAACCAGGCCTGACACACAGAGACCACTCTGAAGGGACTGCCATGGGAGAAGACATAAATCTATATAAAACCTTCAACATTTAAAAGGATCACATTAATTCCAACAGCTTTACTGAGCTTGGACACCCAATAAATTACACACTCACTCCAGGTACTTGGAAGATTATTGCACAGCTCCTTAACTGATCGAGTCAGGACAAATGGTCACTTCCCCATAACCAGAAGCAGCGTATCTCCTACAAGGACACCAGGGCTGGCGTAGGCTGCGGGGCTGGCTGCAGTTGAACCTTGCCTCCAAGGCCACGAACAGTAAAGTAGCATTATTCTCATGGCTACATTCACTTCAGTGTCATGTTTACTAACATGGAGCTTTCTGAATAGAGAGGCAGAGGCCCTGCCTGCTCAGTAAGAAACATTTCCTATAGTGCTGTAGATTGAAGGAGGCTGTCCATAGTAAAAATAGATTTCAGTTGCATGTTTCTGACATTGTACAGCAGCCCTGGCTCAAGGATTTCTCCCCCGACATGATTCCTAAGACTATTTGCTATTTGATTCTTTATTTTGGCTACTTGATGGTTTTGATGAATTTGCTTTGATCCAGGGGTGTTCAAGTACTTCTCTGAGAGTCAGCCTCTGGCTTGGATTATGCTTCAACAGTCTTGAAATAAGGTCTCTGGCTCCCTCTGTTACAAACTCGGGAAACGTGAATTCAATCCGTGATATTCTTCTGTAGGTCTCTTGGTATGTGTTTGCCTCAAAAGGAGGTTCCCCAACTAAAAATTCATAGAACTCCCAGGCTCCAGAGGTCTACCTTCTCATCATGCATCCAACCTTCAATCATTTCAGGGGGCAGGTAGTCCAGGGTACCACAGACAGTGGTTCTCCTGAAGGACAGAGAGTGAACGGACCAGCCAAAATCTGCGATCTTAAGCTCTCCAGATGATCCCAGCAACAGGTTCTCTGGCTTAATGTCTCTATGAATAACTCTCTTTGAGTGGCAGTAAGACAGGGCATTTGCCAGTTTAGTGATATAAGTAGCAGTTCTCTGCTCATCAAACTTTGCAAGTTTCTGCAGTTCTCTATAGATGGTTCCAAGCGGCGCATATTCTAGAATTAGGTAAACTCTGGTGGCATCATGGAAATAACCATACAGTCTGAGAATATTAGGATGCCGAAGACAGGACTGGATTTCCACTTTCTTCTGTGTTGATGCTCCACTCCTGCTTTTTCCAACTGAGCTTTAAACAGCACTTTAAGAGCCAGGATAAACTTGCTTTGTTTTTCTCTTGCCAAATAAACCTTACCAAATTTTCCTTTACCCAGGGGGCGACCAATTTCAAAAGCTTCCAAAGCCCATTGCTTTTTTTTTGATTCTTCGTTTTTCTGTTTTGATGTCACTTCTTCCTCACGATTATTTCCAGGTGCTGCTGGCTGGGGCTGCTTGCTCTTCTGGGTGTCATTCAGTGGCTTAGAGACAGGATGAGGTATGCTGGTTGCCTGTAATTGCTTCTGCGTGTGATTCTGAACTGGTTTGTGGCTGGAGATAAGCTTTTGTGCTTAAGAAGGAATGCGCTGGGAGGAATTTGAAGGGCACAGGACCCACTGAGCCTGACCACTACCTGCAGGTACTGGATTCTGACCGGAAAACTGCTGGGTCACTGGAACGTGTTTTGGACCATCAAGTGGAACCGTGGCCTTAATGGGCCCTGAAATGTAGTTTTCTTTTGATCTGTCCGTGATGCCTCAGATCCAAGTCCCGGAGTCCTCTCAGCTCTCAGCCGTCGCAATGGATGTCTTCATAAGTCTTACCTAGAAGGAGAAAGGATAATATTGAGGCTAAAGCTGTACTTGGTAAATAAGCAGCAGTAATGCATACTACTAGGAGAGAGGTATGCTTGGTCATTTTTGTGGTTCAGACAATATTCATATATCATCTGTGTTCAATGAGCCCTGTTTTCTGTCTTGATACGTGGTGGTCACAGAGTAGCTACCTTAACCAAATGTTATATGAAATTGTTTCTGTTTAACAGAAGAACACCAAAACCTAGCGGTGAGTACCATGCTAGCTTACAGCAACAGTAAGGCCTAGTCAGTTGTATCCAGGCAGCTCCCAGATGTCAGGGAAGTTTTTATCTCAGCTTTTTTTATACTCTGTACTGTGAGGCAAGACAGAGTGCTGAGAAACTTAGAAGGCCATCTAACAGGGACAGAATGATTCCAAATGGAATATTAATTAACCTGTGTTTTCTATAAGAGAAAATATTCTGAATAAAGAATGTCTCTTTCTAATGACTACCTTTAGATCAATCTCTAGTACCTTTTAAATATCTAGAATTTTAATGTGACAGGATAACAGACATGAAATTATCCAGTAGTTTAAGGAAAAGAAACCAATTTTCTAAGTCACAACAACTCCCCTTATTACACCTTCAACATTTGACTCTATATTTTTAAACTTAAAAGAAAAATTTAGTGTAATTGAGCCATCCAGAGCTTTCCTAAATTTAATCAGTGTCCTTGAACTTCCTTTAAACATAGTCAGGCAGCACCAGAACACAGAGCATAAAGATTACCCAGGGCAAAGAAACAATCTGAGCAGCACCACATGACATTATAACCCTTTTTATTATCCTGGATGAAAATACCTGAAGCTTTCAAGAGATTGAGAAAAAGAACTTACCCAGCTGGATTTATATAAGTAGAAAAGCCAAAGGTATTGCTTGGTTACCACCCACACAGATCCTTACGTCAACATAAACTTTGGAGAATTCCAAATAAACTATAAAAACAAAAAGAAAGACAGCTAACCCACGTATAGAAGCCAGAGAAAGAGGAGGGGATGGGGACTTCCAAGTGGGAAGGTCAACTGGGAAGGTGCAACCCAGAAAATCCTGAAGGGTACCACACTATTGACAATCTCATCTATCCATGAGGCTGTTCAGAAGCCCCCATCCCTCTCACCACCAGCAGACATATACACATGTGAGAAGATTCTGATTTAGTGTGCCCTCTTCTGTTCATAGAAAATTCCCTCAGGTCCACTCTGAGTGGAGGCTGCATCACAACCAGGGGATTCCCCCTCTCTCCTTCAAGGACTCTTAATACAAACTCTGCAACTGGCAACTGAAGTGTCACCATGGAGGATTTTTCTGATTGGTCAAAACCTGATCTGGCAGGGTTGGTTTGGGTGTCTGTAGAGTTCCTTCTCTATCTTCAAAATTCCTCTACAACTTAGAACAGCAACTGCTGGGACCACCTTGGGAAGAGGATGACCCTAAACACAGTTCTGATGCTGGGGACCCTTATCTTGGCCATCATGATGATCCCCTGTGGAGGGGAAGACATTGTGGGTGAGTGCACGGCTGAGGGATGTTCTTTGGAGTAGGGAAACAGGAGATTGAAAAGAGAGAGATTCCCCCAAGAAACATAGAGATTTCCTAAATATTAAGAGATTTAAAAATTATAGCTGTTCTTCCTCAGGAAACCAGAGCTCCACCCTGCTCTTTGCTACCTGTGCTGTTGAGAGTTCACCAAGGATGCTATTCTGTTTATAATATTGGACATAATGAATATAGCATGAAAGTCTTTGTGGCATTCCATCATGATTGCCTCAAAGATTAGTAATGTTTCCATAAGTGAAACATTGATCAGTTTTCACCAGTACTTTTGTGGTAATGAAAACATGTGAACATGTCCACAAATTTTCTGACTTGCTTTTTCTTGCAACAACTCTTGGTCTTCATTTTCCCCTGCCAGACAAAGAGATAACTCTGTTGTTTTGTTTTACCTTCTCCTCGAGGAAGAATGTGAAACATTCCTAATCTTTGAAATAATTTTCATTATTAAAAATTTATGAACTATGGCTCAGCATCCATAGCTCAGTGGTTAGGGCACCAGCCACAAGCACTGGGGCTGGCGGGTTTAAACCTGGCCCAGGCAGGCTAAAAACAATGACAACTACAACAAAAAAAATAGCCAGGCATTGTGGTGGGTGCCTGTAGTCCCAACTATTTGGGAGTCTGAGGCACAAGAATCATTTAAGCCCAAGGGTATGAGGTTGCTGTGAGCTGTGATGCCAGAGTACTCTACCGAGGGCAACATAGTGAAACTATCTCAAAAGCAAAATGAAACGAAACAGGGCAGTGCCTGTGGCTCAAAGAGTAGGGTGCTGGCCCCATATACCAGAGGTAGTGGGTTCAAACCCGGCCCTGGCCAAAAACTGCAAAAATGAAAAAAAAAAATTATGAACTCTGACTCCCAAATTTCTCTGAACAGCTTTTGAAATTTTTCATTTATCTTCTATAGTCTATCTAAGGATATATTTCCATGAATTGTGTATACTATGTAGATATGCGAAAAGATAGGCTCTGTCTCAGACTTACATACACTTCCACAATGGGAATTGGCACAGGGGAATGAGTAGGTAGAGGAGCCCAGCAGGCTGAGTACTTTACACAGTCATTTACCACACAGTCGTCACTTAATCTTGGCTATCTCGTGTGTGTTGCCTCACTAATAATCAAATAAAATGTGTATCTAGTTATGCTTTATAAATGGTAAAAACATAAATGTCAATGCTTATTTTTTTTGACTTTTTATCTGACAGGCATAAAACTTATCTTCTTTAAGCAAAGTAAGGAATAAATTTATTTATTTTTTCTTTGAGACAGAGTCTCAAGCTGTCACCCTGGGTAGAGTGCCATGGCATCACAGCTCACAGCAACCTCCAACTCTTGGACTTAAGCAATTCTCTTCCCTCAGCCTCCCGAGTAGCTGGGACTACAGGTGCCCGCCACAACGCCCAGCTATTTTTTGGTTGCAGTTGTCATTGTTGCTTAGCAGGCCTGGGCCGGGTTCAAAACTGCCACCCTAGGTATATGTGACTGGTGGCCTGCCCACTGAGCTATGGGTACCGCTGGAATAACTTTATTTTTTATTTTAAAATTGGGAATTAAATTGTGTTATTCTTGAATTATCAACCCAAATTACCCATTGTTCACCCCATCTAACGAAGTACTGTGAAAGAGAAATGAGCAGGCATGGCCCCAGTTGTTTGATCTTTTAGGCGCCTCTGTCATTGGTGTCCACCTCTTTCCACAATCTCTTCATACATTCCCTTATTCCTCTTTCTTTTCAGCATCCGTCTATTGCTCCCTGCTATTTTGTAGATAAGCACAGTCGATTTGTAAAAACAAAAGTTGAAAAGTCAAATAGTTAAAAAGGAGAAGTGAAATAGAAGGTGTTTTAATCTTCCTCAACTTTTTTTACCGTGGCTGCTCGCATTCCGATTATGTATGGGAGTGGAAGTTTCACCCACTTCTCCACTGCGCTTGGCTTCTTCATTCCAAGTTTCCTTTTTCAACATTACACCAGAGTGCCCTGGTCAGACTTGACTTATTCATTAGGCACAGTGGGTGCAGTACTGAGGGCCTGCTACACCTACAGGGACGCATGAAAGTGTTTTAATTTTTTTTAGTTAGGAAAAAAATGATGTTTTAGAGTCTAAGAAAATGTTTTACCTTTTAATCCAGACTGTATTATATTCTTCAAACCATTACTGTCATAAATAGCATTTTCAATATTTTTTACAAAGGAAAGTGCCCTTGAAAGCAAAAGTGTGTGGGGCTCACATGTCATGATGCAGCCCTTGTCATCACTGATCTTGACCTTCATATGGTTCTGATACGTGTGTGCCCCACCTTCCCCAAAATCTATGTGATCCTAGAAAATAGTAATTGTCACTCAATACACATTTTTGAGCACACAATGAGTGAATTTAGGGGATTCCAAGATGAAAAGTCAGACTACCTGCGCCCTAGAGCATGCATAGACTAGTGACGGGAACAGTATAGGGTGAAGGAAAGCAGAACCATTGCTGAGCAGGACAGTGGACACCGCTGAGGCTAAAACTATAACTATGACTTGGTTCCAGTTGGCACAGCAGTGTGATATCCTCCAGCAATACTTGGTTTCCCAGGACAAGGATCAAATGAAAAGAATGATTGCATAAATTCATGTTTGAGAAAGTCATCGAGATGTATTGCTTGCTTTGGAGTGATAAGGATAAGGAAGCTTTGTTGGAAGCCTCGTAAGTGAGCAATCAAAGTAGTCATACTGGATGGGGAAGAAAGTGAGGTGGAAGGGGAACAGACTAACTTGGGGAGCAGGACCTTGGGATGAAGGGCTTGGTGGTCATATGTGGTCAAAAACACGATGATGAGAGGACTTAGGTAGAAGTTTAGTAACTAAGCAGAAACTCCAAGGATGAATTAGAGTTTTCCAGGAAATCCTAAAAGATAACTCTATTTCAAGGAGAAAAACAGCCCCTTGAGGAAATCAGTAACGTAAGTATTTCAGTTTAATTGGCAGATACTTGTGGACGATGCTAGAGTCTTCATCACAGGACTCACTACAGTATATTGTATTCACTCCTTCTCTCCCACTGTTCAGTGAGCTCCCTGACAGAAGACCATGGCTGCTTGGTGTTTTATTCTTTGTCCCCTGCTATGGCTGATGTCTGCTGGTGCTCAGTAAATGAGGAAGAAAGGATGAAATGGTTAAGGGCTCATATACATACATGTCTTGACAAAAATACCCAGTTAGCTTCATTTGGGTGCACTCATCCAGCACTGGCTGCCACTCTGCTTTGAAAGACTAATGCACTGTACATCAGAGAAAAAGGGTCTTAATTTTCTTTGAGTTGTCAAGTGAACGTGTCAAGTCAGGAAAAGAAGAGAGGTTAATACTTTCTCCTAAGAAAAAAACATAAAGGTGAAGATTGACAGAAATCCAAGAACTATTAAGCTACCTTTTTTTTTTTTTCCAAAAGATATCAGGCACTCTCCTCTAAGGACTGCTATTGTTTTGTTAGCAAAACAGAGACCTTCAAAAAACTATTTTTAATACATATTTTATAATGTTGCTGTTTTGTTATGCCTTTTCCTATACCCTATAATAGGAGAAACTCTTTAAAATAAGATCCTGTGTGACTTCTTTGGTTAAAAATAAAAGAAGGATAAGAAAGGGATACCTGTGTAGAAAATCTCTTGCTCTGAGCCAGTCTTGGGAAGAGGAATCATAATAAATGTGTTGTTAACTAATGGAAGAATTAAGTGAGAGATGAAACATAGGAAGCTGAATCTCTGAGAACCTAAATGCTATGACAACTTGTTCGTTCATTCAGCTACAATATTTATTACAAACTTATGATGTGCCAGACACTGAGCTAGCACTCAGGGAACAGCAGTAAGACATGTGACATTCTGCCCTTGTGAAGAAAACATTACAGTGAGACAGACAGACTGGATTCTAACTGAACAACTACCAATAGTAAGTGAGGAGGAAGTAGGTGGTGAGAATGTTGTCCAGAAACTGTGCCAAGGATAAAGCCCACAATATGTGGAAGTCATTTCTGTCACTCTGTTTAATAAAGTTTTTTATCCCTCTGTTTTCTGCCTTCCTGCTTGTCACCCTCACTCATCAGCTGACCACGTTGGCATCTATGGCTTAAACGTCTACCAGTCTTATGGCTCCTCTGGCCAGTACACCCAAGAATTTGATGGAGACGAGATGTTCTATGTGGACCTGGAAAGGAAGGAGACTGTCTGGCGGCTGCCTGAGTTTAGCACATTTGCAGGCTTTGACCCACAGGGTGGACTGAGAGAGATAGCTACAGCGAAACACAACATGGAAACCCTGACTAAACGCTCCAATTCTACTGCTGCTCCCAAAAGTATGTGTCTGTCATCCTGCCTCTCTTTACTAAATCTGTCCCTTCACACCAGGCCACACTCCCTTCTTCCCCAGGGGTAGCTACCCACTATATAAAACTCCTCCTTCCCAAGGAGTCCCCAGAGTCTCACAGTAATTGCAGAAATAATTTCACAAGTCACACTAGAAAAGTGTAATTGTCTTTACTCCGATATTACTTTCCTTAAGTCCTTCAAGGAGAAATCACATAGATCTCCTACCTTAATAAGCACACTCACAGAAGGAGGGCACATTGATAAAGCGAAGGCAAAACACAGCATTTTCCAAGTAGAAAAGAAATGAGACCTGTTCAACTATCAAGTAGGGAATTCCTTCTGGGAAGGCTCCTCCAGGATGCAGTGCAGAACTCCAGGGCAGGGATACTAGCAAGTCTCATCAGTACTGTTTTCTCACCATAGAGGTTCCTGAGGTGACTGTGTTCCCCAAGTCTCCTGTGATGCTGGGTCAGCCCAATACCCTCATCTGTCTTGTGGACAGCATCTTTCCTCCAGTGATCAACATCACGTGGTTGAGCAACGGGCACTCAGTCACAGAAGGTGTTTCTGAGACCAGCTTCCTCTCCAAGAGTGATCATTCATTCCTCAAGATCAGTTACCTCACCTTCCTCCCTTCTGATGATGTAGTTTATGACTGCAAAGTGGAGCACTGGGGCCTGGACAAGCCACTTCTGAAACACTGGGGTAACTTCTTGTTACCAAAACATCTCACCCTTAAGCCCTTAACTCCCTTGCCCCCAAGCTTGTGTTCCATACTTTTCCAAGGGTTTCCAATGATACATTTCACTCTCCTCCCTAACCCTGGTACCCCAAGTCTCTGCAGATCCTCCATCATCCCATCCCATACACATACACATGAACACACTGTGTATTCTGACCTCTACAATTTCTCCTTTGCAGAACCTGACATTCCAGCCTCTATGTCAGAGCTGACAGAGACTGTGATCTGCGCCCTGGGCCTGGCTGTGGGCCTTGTTGGCATCGTGGTGGGCACCATCCTCATCATCCGAGGACTGCGCTCAGGTGGTACCTCCAGACAGCAAGGGTCCTTATGAACTGCACATGGAAGAGGAGGTAAGAACTCAGATTTGTTACAGCTGCAGCTACAGTACAGGAAGAAGGAAAGTGGGAGGAGGTTGTATAAGCAAATGTAAAGTTGTAAGAGAATTGGAAAGTGACATAGTGATGGCACAGAAGCTCCCTAGGACCCACCAATCTCGTGTCTGTCCTGTTGCAGGTGTATTGTCTGTCTACAGGAGCAGAAGAGTGGATGTGCTAGATGGTCTAGTACTATTTTCTGACCCAGTTCATCATCCTTCTCTCCTCCAAATGTTTCATCTCTCACCTCTGGGTCCTAAGATGCTATATCCATTCAGAGTTTGCAAATACTTGGAATTCTCTCCCAACCACCTGAATATTTTTTCTTCTCTCAGTTGTTTCTACTATAGAATGCCTGGGGTATTCCATTCAGCTACCTAATTGCTCAGTGACCCTTATCCAATATGTATATGAAAGCAATAAATCTTCTTTTATAAGGTCTTCTATTGGATTTATTTATTTATTTATTTTTTTTTTTTTTTATTTATTGGTCTTTCACCGCAGGTCTGGCTAGGATTATGGCTAAATCTGGAAAACCCTTATGGTACAGACTCATTTAATCTCATTTCCCAGATCATGTTCCATACAAAACAACCAAATATAGCCTGATAATATTTGGGAGGAGGGACATCAAATGAGCCTTTATCATAATATTTTCCATTGTACTTTTTAACTAGCTGGGAATTCCACTCCATCACTGTTGATGTCATGAGGGTGGTGGCCATTAACATTGCAGCCCAAAGACTGGGCAGTTCCCAGGACCTCTTTAATGGTTCCAGGGAGTTCTTTGGCTAAAGATTAGTGTTGTATCTGTCTATCAATGTTGACAACCTTATTAAAAGTGATATATCTCTGTTGTTTAATGTTTTCTGTTTTTTCCTGACTTTTAGTGGTTCATTGAGGGCTTTGATAATCAGGGCAGAAGCAGAAGGTACCACTTCACTCTGGATCTGTCTGTTCTAAAAAGTCAGTTTCACTGTAATTTACCCTTCCAGTCACCAGTTTCCTTGGCAATGTCATCACCAACCTTTCTTGGACACAGACCAAGGGCTGATCTTGGGGACAGGACACATGTGGCACTGACCTCACTGACCTCATCATCACCATCTGTGCACCTCATGTACATGACTTTGATCTCATTATGTTCAAACTTAGGAGGCATCGTGGAGACGCCTGGTGCCAGATGAACCCAGATTAAGATTGAGGAACCCAGACTGAGGAAAGTTGCACCTTGGCTTCCTTAGAGTCAAAAGCCAAAAAAGCAGCTTGATGACATTTTTAGATCTTAGCAGAGGTTAATATTTCTTTTTTCCTACAGTTCTCACACTTGGCCACTGCCACCCACTCCTCAACTCAGGCATCAATGAAGTTGATACGTGCCTTCTATATGTGATGAATATTTTGTATAGCAGAAATGCAAAAACCATAAGTCTGGTCTATTATTCATTATCATAAAACTACAATAATATTGCTTTTTGAAGCTATGACAAAGACATAAGTTAGAAGAAAGGAATTTTGAATCTTGAAAATATCAAGTCAGAATTTTGATAGCAAAAATCAAAAATTATTGCCAAAACTCTAAATTGTGAAAAGTGCATGATAATAGGAGAAGCTTTCCTCTCTCCCCTCCTCACCCTTGAGGTGATAAAAGTTCTCTAGGCAGGAAAATAAAAGAAAGTCAGAAGAGCAATAGAGTGAGACAATGTTGTTGATATTTGAGAAGAACCAAAATATATTGCTCTTACTTAAAATTAATGACAATGAGAAAAGCGATATGGCTTAGAAACCATAGACATATTTAGACGCCCTAGTTGAAGGGGTCTAGCTGGTGAAATCTTGCTAGGCAACCACATAGATTTGACTGTGCCACCATGGCATGTCACAGGCAGTAGAGTGAACACTGCTGCAAATGCTTCTAGGCAGATAATCCTAAATAGGATCACTGAATCCCCTCTCTATTCCTGTGTTCCTCTGGGAGCAGGAAAATGCCCAAATATCCTCAGCCTCTTATTCCTTACCCCTCTTGGCTAAGGAAAGCATGAGCCTCTGAGAAAGAAATCTTAGACAGGACAGTTGAGATAATATAGCAGTAGCTGTCAGCGCTATGTCCCCCACCAAATTCACTGTATCCCAGGGAAAATACTTGCAGAGGAAATGAATCAATATATGGTATTCTCTGGATCTCATGAATCTAAGACCTCACTCCTGAAAGTGGGTGACCTTACCTGGAGTTATTTTGCCTCTTAAAATTAGTTTAGGCACATTTCTTTAGCCTTTCCAATCTGCAACCACTGCAGCGGTGGTACATTGCATCTAGGATAGTATTACATAACAGCTATAAAACCTATAAGGTTGCCCCTGTTCATGCTATCCACATAAGTGAACTTAAAACTTAATTGAGAAAAAATTAGCATAATAATAACTGCAGTATAGTTTTATGGAAAGAAACCTAAATCCAGGACTTAGCACTTTATAGCTAGGATTGTAAACTTTATAACTCTGGATAAATTATCTAATATTTCTGAGTTTTATTTTGTTTATTTATAAAGTGAGAATAATAATATTGTCTTAAAGAGTTATTGGGGGGATTTGAATAATCTTAATGTTTAGTCAAGGCCTTAAATATATTATAAACACATGTAATAAAACATTGCTAGTTATATTCATAATTTATAAGAAGAATATATCATATGACATAAAATGCACTTTTGTTGTCTGAGTCATTTAATGATTTAGGAGATACAAACATAAACTATGGATGAGTTTATTTTCATAATTGGAGGATTTCTTCTTTCTCTTCAGAATGACAGAGGCTGAAATTGGGTTAGGCTGAGTGAATAGGTACGGTAGAATGGTCAGTGACATGTTACTTTTAAAGAAGTTGCTAAGGAAATTCTTAGGATAAGGTGTAATCTTCAATTTTGGATTTTTATACTCTAAAAAGAGGAAAGCCCCCTGCTTATGACCCATAATTTTTTATTCAACGTATATTATCCATAACAAATCTTTTTTTTTTTTTTTTGCAGTTTTTGGCCAGGGCTGGGTTTGAACCCGCCACCTCCAGCATATGGACTGGTGCCCCACTCCTTTGAGCCACAGGCACCACCCTCCATAACATATCTTTATGTATATTTACTTTTGTGAGAGGGTAGGAAAGATTCAAGGGAAAAAACCACCGCAAAGGAGAGGTAGAAGAATGATTATAAATATGCACTCAGAATTAGTAAATGCAGGGACTCTGAACCAGAGGTGATCATGAAAATACAGGTCAACTGAAAATGTACAAATATACCAAGAAGTTTTTAGAAATAAAATATTCAAAATAGGATTTTGAATGAATTTGATGTACATTTCAATGATTCATTTTGGAGAGGTATGTGGGTGTGTGCATATAAGTGTATTATTAGAACATAGGGTTATAGTGAATGACACTGTGACCAGATTCCCAGATGTATGCAAATGCTGCCCTTTTTAGACACCTCTCATGAAATACTAAAGAAAGTAAATTTAATTGAATTTGCATTTTAGAGAGATGGATTCATCAAGTCTTCATGTGATTTTAATATAGCAGATTAAAATTAATCCTAAGAAAAAAGGACATTTATTTCATCAGCTCAAAGTTAAAACTGGAATCACCATATGATACTACTATAAACAAAATTGGAAAGATGATCAACTAGAAGCCTCTAGCTCTCTTCTGCCCACACAAAAAACAAAACAACAAATAAACAACTATAATTTGACCAAAATAAGTGAAAAGGAGCACCAGAGAACAGAAAGAAGGAACAGAAACTCTATAGAGCATAGAAACCCAGATGGCCACATAGAGAAGGGAAACTAAGACCTTGCTTTCACCACTCTATCCCCTTAGGCAGGATCATTTCAGAAGCAGGTGGAATATCTCCCTGTGGGGAAAAGGTAAATAAGAGGATCCTAGCAGCCCCCATCGCCACCATAAACACCTGCAATCTTTGGTGCTGGAGACTCCCATAGTACTTACAGGTTCTAAGCCCAACTGAGGATACTTCTTGGAGTTTACAAACTAAGCTATCCCCAAGAAAAAGCTGAGTCTATCCCTCATCATGGGAAGTTGCATGGATAGCAATATAATAATAACAGGAGGCTTTAGTACCTCACTTTCAACAATATATTGATCAACCACATCAAAAATTAATAAGAAAATACTGAACCTAAGAGAACTTTTAACCAAATGGATCCAACAGATGTGTACAAAACTTTCCATCCAACAGTAACAGAATGTACATTTTTCTCTGGCACACGTGGGACATTCTCCAGGACAGATAATACATTAGGCCACAAAATAAGTCTTAACAAATTTAAGAAAACTTAAACCAGCCAGGAGTGGTGGCTCACACCTGTAATCCTAGCACTCTGAGAGGCCAAGGTGGGAGTAATTGCTTGATCTCAGGAGTTCAAGACCAGCCTGAGCAAAAGCAACACCCTGTCTCTACTAAAAATAGAGGCAAGAGGATCTCTTGAGCCCGAGGCAGAGGTTGCTATGAGCTATGACTCCACAGCACTCTACCCAGGTCAATAGCTTGAATCTCTGTCTCAAAAAGAAAGAAAAAGAAAGAAAGAGAGAGGAGAGGGCAGGAAGGAAGGAAAGAAAGGGAGGCAGGGAGGAAGGAAGGAAACAAATAAATAAATAAATAAAGAGTAAAACTTAAATCATATCTGTACCATTTAAGTCAACAATGGTATGAAGCAAGAGGAATCTTGGAAAATTCACAAGTATGTGGAAATTAAACAACATGCTTCTGAATAACAAATGAGCCAAAGAAGAAGTCAAAAGGGAAATTAAAAATTATCTTGAGACAAACAACAATGGGGATACAAGATGCCAAAACCTGTGGAATGTAACAAGAGAGGGCCTAAGAGGGAAGTTTATAGCAATAAATGCCCACAACAAAAAAGAAGAAAAATCACAAAAAAATAGATCAACATTTTGTATCAAGGAATTTTTAAAAAGAGCAAACTAAACCCAAAATTAGCAGAGGGAAGGAAATAATAAAAATCAGAACCAAAAAACCATAGAAATAATCAATACACTGAGTTATTTTTTTGAAAAAAAAATTTACAAACTTTAGATAGTCTAATAAAAAAAGAAAGAAAAGTCAAATAAATAAAATAAAAAGTGAAAATATACAACAGGTGCCTCAGGTATAAAAAATTGAATAACCTAGAGAAAATAAATAAATTCCTAGAAAAATACAGGCTACTGAGCTTGAACCAGAAAGGAATAGAAAGCCTGAACAGACCAATAACAAATAAAGAGACTGAAGAAGTAATTAAAAATCTCTTGCCATAGCTTAAAGGTGTCCCTCAAAGTTCATGTGTTAAAAGTTAATCCCTAAACGCATCACTGCTGAGAGGAGAGATATTTAAGTTATTAGATCATGAGGGGCTAGTAATCAACTGATAAA